CCCCCCAAAAAAAAAAAAAGGGAAAAGAGAAACCAAGCCCTGAACGTGATTGGGCTCAGATTCATCCAGAGCTGCATCGAAGTGCAGCTAGATACATTCTGGAAAGTGGTACGTGACTATGCAGACCTCGATTTGAAATCTTGGCAGGTATTGAGTGCTCCCCGTCTTCCACGCGGAGCTGAAGCAGCAGAAACACACGAGCTACTACTTCACCAAAAAAAAAAGAAAAAAAAAAGGGAAAAGAGAAACCAAGCCCTGAACGTGATTGGGCTCAGATTCATCCAGAGCTGCATTCAAGTGCAGCTAGATACATTCTAGAAAGTGGTACGTGACTGTGCAGACCTCGATTTGAAATCTTGGCAGGTATTGAGTGCTCCCCGTCTCCCACGGGGAGCTGATGCAGCAGAAACAGACGAGCTACTACTTCGCAAAAAAAAAAAAAAGGAAAAAGAGAAACGAAACCCTGAACGTGATTGGGCTCAGATTCATCCAGAGCTGCATCCAAGTGCAGCTAAATACATTCTGGAAAGTGGTACGTGACTGTGCAGACCTCGATTTGAAATCTCGGCAGGTATTGAGTGCTCCCCGTCTCCTACGGGGAGCCGGGGAGCTGAAGTAGCAGAAACAGTCGAGCAGCTGCTTCCCAAAAAACAAAGCACTGCTCACGTCATTGCTTCAGGCCAAAAATGCGTCCGGATGCATGCGAACCTATTTTTCATTTTCTTTTCACCTTCTTGGCACTGTTCATTGCACAGAGCGTCCGTGCATGTTTACACATGCACGGAAATCCAAGGGGACATATTGCTGTCCATAGGGCAGCTTTCCTTGGGCCCACAACCTTCCTCCCCTATTACGACCCCGACCCTCTCCTGAACCCCATAAAGTGAAGCGCGTATACGGGAAAGCCCCGTGGCCGATGTATGGGCCAGGTACTGGTGGTTTAATGGCTACCTACCATTCCCTTGTTCCTACACTAATCCCAGTTCCCACCACACGTACTCCAACTAATCTCTAACTTTTTTTTTTTTTTTTTTTTTTTTTAAATCAACACAAACCCTGCCAGTGCTAGTGCTGCTGATACGAGCAGTCACCACTAGCACCCAGGAGGAAGCTCCATCTATTGGTGAGGAGCATCACCTGCTGGAAAGCGGGTCCAGCGTCCCATATGCAGATCATATATAGAGTCATTTGAGAAGTATGGTTATGAGGCCTCCCAGCATTGATTGCCCTGTCTCCCAGGGGATTGACTGAGCAGGTGTGTGTATCCCAAGTGACTAGCTGGATAATAATAAAGCCTTTGTCCTCCGTATCTCTTCACCCCCCAGAGGGGGGTGCCAGATGACCCAACGAGCATTGATACCACTTCGAGGAGAACTCTCTCCGGTTGTTCTTCTTGTCAAGGTTAGCAGGATCCCTCCCCAGGGGGCACCAGGGAGGGTTCCTTTTTCTGCAGATGAGGACAATTCGAAAAGAGTTTAAGATAGAATCTCAACCAGTGACAGGGCATGTGGTGGAAAAAGGTCCTGAAAGTCTGAGCGGGGGCGTAGCGGGAATGAAGGTTCTATATTAGTCCAGTCCCTAAAAACCAAACGATAATCTCTCATTTCGTCCAATTCTCGTGTCTCTTCTCTTCTGTCCCCGTTCCACTCCACTTTTGCTATCCAGCCCTCTCTTTCCTTTCCTATCCAATT